GCCAGCACAGAGCAGGGGCAAAGGGAATTTACGTGTGAAGAAGCTTGTGTAGAAGCTCTTTAATTAATTACATTAACCCGTTCCTGTCCACTGATGCACAAGAGATGAGAAACCAAAGAACCTGAGGTTTCCCTTCTGTCTCCAGAAGGCCGCTGTGCGTTTGCCCCACTGCAGGGCTCCGTGGGCTGGAGTGGCTGAATAAATGGATCTCGGTTCTTCACTCCCATTAGAGCTGAGGGTAGGATTTGGTAGAAACCTCTCCTATGTGCAGTATATTGGGCACAACGTGTATGAAACTACCTGACGACACACGACTGTGTAGGACTGAGCTTTCAGACCAGGCTCGTGGGCTTTATAGAGGCATAGCATTTGGCTACCTGTGTTAGCTTGTCGTATCCGAGCTGGGACAGGGGAAGGCCAGGCTGGGCGTCGGGAGAAGGTTCCTCACTGGGAGGGCGGTGGGCTGCTGGAACAGGCTCCCCAGGGAGGCGGTCACGGCACCCAGCCCGTCACACCTCAGCTCTGTTGTATGATTTAGTGTCAGGCAGTCCTGCGAGCAGCAGGGAGTTGGACTCGATGGTCCTGAGGGGTCCCTTCCAACTCGAGATATTCCATGATCCTATGAAATGGGATGTTGAGGTTCATTCCTACCTTTAATTCTTTCTGTAGGAAATAGTGCAAAATCCTGTGGCTTTTAGCTCCCCCTAAAATGGCGTATAATTACAGGTGGCAGCAATAGCCCTAGTGATCTCTGAAGATGGGAGGAAAAGACAGGAGATGGTTTAATATTTTTATAGTTCCACAGAAAATTGTGCTCAGCAGGTTTATTCGATAAAATATTCTCACCAGACACTTTGTGCTATAATGACTTACAAATTACATGCTAATTGTGCTACAATTAAGTCATTCCATCCTTGAAAGGGAGAGGTGGAACTTCTGCCATGAGCAATGCCCACAGACTGGGTGCCTGAAATAGGAGTTTCTGTCAGCCCAGCGTCTCAGTTCAGTTTGGGGAGACCGAGCTGCTCGGCGTCGTCCCGAGGGCGGGACCGTGTCGGTGCGGGCGAGGACGCGGCGTTCCCGGGGGGCCGGTGCCCCTGTGCCTGCGGCTGTGCCAGCAGACGGCCGGAGCCGAGGGGAGCTCTTGGCTTCCTCCCTAGGGCTGGTGGGTCCTTGTAGCTGACGGCCCTGACGTGGTTCCTGTTTCTTGCTGCTGAAGTTGAGCTCACGCTCTTGCGGGAGCTGCTGCTCCGTCTCTCCTGGTTCGGAAGCCACGGTGTGCTGGGTCGCAGTGAGCTTGTCAGCTCAGTTTACAGAAATTGAAGCGTGTTTCTGCTTGTAAGGCAGAAATGAAGAAAGTCCTTCCCGCGGCAGGGGGCTCTGATGGCTTCTCGTGGGGACCTGAGAGGTTCTTGGCCACCCATGGTGTGACCTGGGTGCCTGGCGGCTGCGCTGGCTGCCGCAGAGCCCGTGGCCGTGCTCAGTCCTAACCACTGCCTGAGGGCAAGCGAGGGTCCCTCTGCCCCGGGGCCCGTGGGCTCTGCAGCCACTCAGAGCCCCCGGGAAACCGTCGTCCCAGCTGAGCCGAGGCGGAAGGTCCTGGGCAGCCCTTGGTACGATGGTCTGATTTCACGCGGGGCTTCTGCTTCCTCCTGCGTCAGACGTTGGTCCCTGTCTCCTGACCATCCCTTTGGCCCACGGGCGTAGCCGTGGCCTTGGCTTTGGCTGTCAGCCCGTGGGGAAGGCCCCTCCCGAGCACGGCGTGCATCACCTGCCCCTCCCCAGTAACACAGAAAGCGGGGAGGGGAGAGGCTCTGTCCTTGGGGCGGGGGACAAGCCGTGGCGGCTGTTGTTCTGCACGGCCTTCGGAGCCTTCTCGTCTCGGAGGACGCGGAGCGGCCGCGCTGTCCCGCCCGCTGAGGAGGCGCACCCAGGGTCCTGGAGGGGTTTTGCTCTCGGTCAGTGCCCATCCCTTCTGCTCCGCCCAGCCTCGCCTGTGCGCTGGGGAAGGGCGGTGGTAGGTGAGGAAGCAGGGGGATGCGGAGAATCTTCTGGGCCCTGCGTGGAGCAGACGTGATCTTTTGTGTAGCATTGGCAGATCCATTGTGTCTTTAGGTTTTGAGTCTCTACTTGACACCTCGAGGCCTGTCAGTCCTGCCTCATTAGTGTGAGAGAAGCTCATTTTAGCTTCACAGAAGCCCATCTTATTGCTGTCTTCTCCCATCAGCAAGGGGCATCTCAGTACATATTGTTGGCAGATTAGAAATGGCATCTGAGTGCTCATTTGGAGGCTAGCGACTTGACAGCTTTGAAAGAGAGACAAAGTGGAAAGGTGGCTATTTGGTACTGTACTGGGAGGCAGATTAGCATTTAAAGGGTGGCTGTGGTTTAAAAAAAAAAGACTGCAAAAAGGCACCTTAAAACTGTACTTGTCTTCTAATTCATATCTGCTTAATTTACTCGCACAAAATAATCTTGCTGCTCTGTCGAGAGGGGCTGTTGTAACTGCTGCCTTCTCTGTGTAATCAAGGCAGCAGTTGCCTGGATTCGGCTCCTGTGATCGCCGGGCTTGGATCAGAATACAGAACAGACACGCTCGCTCTTTCCTGCTCTGGAGATTCGAAATCCTGGCCTGTTGATGTTTTTCTGTTCAGGAATTTAGCACCGTTGAGAAGAGCAGCCCGTAAGCCCATGTGCAGGGAGGAGGTTGGGCAGCAGTTTGGGAATTGTCACCGTTCTGGAATGGGGTTTCCTGGTGTTTCAGTCAATGGCTTCCGGTCTCTTGCTAGCCAGACTCAACGTTGTTTAGCTTTAGGGACCACGACTGATCAGATTCGAGCAATTTGGCATGGATGTAGGGTGAGGAAAGTCACTCCTTGCACAAAATCAGATTTTTCTTTTCACTGGCAAGAGCTTGTGTGCGAGTTTTGCCCAGTCATGCCTGTGCCCGTGATTCTGGAGAAAATGCTGAAGCATCCTGGAGCGTAGCCAAAGCAGTTGACTTCATGGCACTGGCAACTAAGCATTGTTTTTTAAACTTAACTTGTTCTTTCGCTGGCAGGCTGGATACCCAGGAGGAGAGGAGTTTCCTTACCGGTGCTCTCCTCTCGCTCCCGGGGCGCTGTGCTGAGCAGCTGCGCTGAGTCACTTCACCGGGTTTTGGTGTGGTGAGCATCACTGCGCTCTCTGCGAGAAGTGCACAGCGTTAATTTTCCTTCTTGTGTTTAAAAGACTCTACCTACAATTACATGCGAGGCCTCGGCTTGATGGAACAGGGAGATTTGGTAGCCTAGGTCAGCTTTGGTGCTGGTGACCTTGCGTGTGTTTGCCTGGAGCTCGTGTGCCCCGAGGAAGCGGCTCTTGCCGAGGCTCACAGGGACGGAGCTCTGCCTGGTGACGGCTCTAATGAGAAAATATTGCTCCGCTGGCGTGTGCCCACCTGCCAGGCGGCTGCATAATAAATCACATGAGCTGCAGCGAGCTAGCGGGGCCTGACAAGCTGCTTCCTTTATTTAAGAACTAAACCACAAACCAACCCCCAAAATGCAAAAGGTCACACGTGACATCGGTTACTTTGGGCTGTCGGTCCCTGGGAAGGGGCGGCAGGGCCGCGGGGGCCCGGCCGTGCTTGGGCCTGGGCACAGATGTCCCGTGTGAGCTCGCAGCGGTGACTCTGTACTTGGCTCCGAGGTTTGTGCTGTAGAATATGGACCCCCAAGTGCAGTGGAGGAGACTGTAGAACGTGTTTATTTGGTTCTTTCTGGTTTGTTGTGGCACATTCATATTCATTCCACGGGATCTTCTGTAAATAGAAGTGGTTTGTTTGAGGGTTTTTTTCCTGTAGCTAATACCAGTTAAGTCTCTGCAGGAGCTGCATGCTGGCACAGCTCTTCCTCTCTCCAGCGCTCCTGTTTCAGTAGCCCTCCTCCCTCTGGGAGCCGAGGGTCACTTCAGCAGCAGCTGCTGCCTTCAGCCAGGGTTCACCTGAGCGCCACGGGAGGCGGCGGCATGGGATGGAGGGTGCCACAAAGAGCGTGCGCTGCTCTGCGGGCTGGCCTGGGGAGGGAAACCAGAGCAGGATTTGTGCTTTTTCCAGGTCAGCGGGGACAGGCAGGATTGGTAGCAGGAGCAGCGAGCGGAGCCCGAGGCCCGGCGGCTGCGATGGGCGCGGAGGTGCCTGCGCCCCGGGTCAGCGCGGCTGCTGGCTCCTGCCTCTGCCTGCCGCTGGGAGGGAGCCGGGGTTCTGCTTATCGACAGCTACATGCGGGAGTGCTGGTAGTAAATTTAATGGTGTGTTACAGAGCAAGTAAGCTCCTTTTCCTAATCTCAGCATGCGGTTTTCATTTTGTATCTCTAGAACATGTCTGTTCCATCCTGGCCTCCCTTCTGCGAAACCTGAGAGGGCAGCAGAGGACGCGGTTGCTGAATAAGTTCACAGAGAACGACAGTGAGAAGGTGGGTGCTGAATAGGTGTCTGTGGCCTCTGGGCTCGGAGCCTCGCTCACGGCAGGTGTCTGCGCACCCGCGAGTTCCTGGGCAGGCGTGGCCGTACCCGGGGCTCCCCTGCCGCTGCTCTCATCCGTGTTGGCATCTACAAACCCGAGAGCTGGAAACGCCTTCAGAGCTCCCACGTCACACGGGCTCTTCGTTTCCTGGTGCTTTTGCACAAGATAGAGCGATTCCCAGCCCTGGCTGTGTCTCCCTGCCGAAGCCCGGTCACGCAGCTCTGTCTGTGGTGTCACGTCGTGCTGGCGCCGAGGGACCGGTGGGGGCAGAGGTGCTGCTTGTTCTCGGGAAGCTCTTGCAGAGTTTAGGAATTGCTGTAGTAGACATTTAACATTCCTCATTCCTCTGCTAGAATGTGTCACTTTAGTGGTGTTTACTCTGGATAATTCTTTCCAAAATATTTACATGGTGGCAAGGAGATCAAAGAGCTGCAAAACAGAAACAGCAGCTTTTGCAAAACAGTAATTCCCAAGAGATTTGTAAATTTTGCCACTGGGGAAATACCAGTTCCTTAGCATTCCTCATTAGTGTGTTTTAAAGGTGGTTTTTGTAACCTGCTCTACCAATTGCAGAGGATTTCCCGTTACTAGACAGGCTTTCAGCTGCCCAGCAGAGCTGAGAGCAGGAGAGCCGTAAGGTGTCTGACACGTTTAACGTGGGCTTGGCTGCCTGCGGCGTGGCCGGGAGCGTCCGCTGCAGGCCCGGCGGGGCGAGGGGGGGCACGGGGCTGGCTGCTGCCTCTGTGCTGCCGCGGAGGAGACGGTGCTGGGGGAGGTTACAGCCAGATGCCTGTGGCCTCAGCGGGCCCGTCCCACCAGCCTCCTTCCTAACGTATTCCTTCCTGCGAGTGGGAATTGCCTGTTGCTTCGTGACGACTGCAGCTGGGAGGAAAACAAAGTCACACGAAGGATTAAAGATGATTGCGTTGTCCTTTTTTCTTGCTTAGGTCTCTCTCTTCTGCCCTTGCAGGTTGATAGGCTGATGGAACTGTATTTTAAGTACCTGGATGCAATGCAGGCAGCTGATAAGAAGATTGATGGAGAGAAACACGTATGTATTGCTTTAATTTGGCCAGCTTGTGCCTGTAATACCTCTGCACAGGCTTGTCGTCTGCACAGGGCTTCCGGCTCGGCCACGTCACTCTCCTGAGCCGGGCCCTCGCACCTGTGCTCTTACCTCTTCGTTTGTGTTGCCCCGCTCCCCAGCTTCCAGTTAACCTCAGAGGAAACGGGCTGAGAACTTCTCTACAGCGAGTGCTCCTGGCTGGTTTTTAGAGTGAATTTTACTGGGCGGGCCTAAGTCTGTGCTTCAGTTTGCCTTCACTTTTACTTGGCTGCAATCTTGCTTGGTTTGGCAGATGGAGAGTAAGTGAAATGCAGAGAGACAATTACATGGTAATGTGTGAGGCCTCCTACCCTGGTCTTTAGAGTTCTGATCAGCTGCGAGAAAGCGTCTATTTTGATTAGTTAGATGAGGCTGCAGCCAAGGTCTGGTGTGCTCTCTGCACACCAGCAGTGAATCGTTTTGAATGACATGAGCCTTGGTACCACACAGTACTTTCTTGGAACTGAAGCTGGAACAGACTTTTTGAAAGAGAGCGAGCAGTTGGAGTCAGGAAGCAGCTTGCAGAGCTGTTAGTGAGCTTGGCCAGCTTCCCACAAGATTATCTGTATCAGCACTGAAGAGGGTGTGAGATTGATTAGCACTGACGGAGAGCAGTGGCTGCAGGGCTGGCCCTGCACGCGGGCGAGCTCAGCGTGCCCCGGGCTGCAGCCCCCAGCCGCGCTCCGACAAGCAGCCGCCTGCCCGCAGCCAGGGCCGCTTCTCCGGGCACTCCAGGCGCTGGGGGGGCACGGGGGTGGCCGAGGGATGGAGCTGCGTCTGCTGCCAGCGCTCAGGCTCCCATGGACAGCCACAGCTTCACAAAGGAACGGTGGCCTGAAGAAATACAGCCTTTACCCTTTCCTGCTAGCCCTCCGCCCCCTGTTCGTCCTCAGAACAGAGCAAGAAATTATTTCTTTACATTTGAGTGTTGGTGTGTGGGTTTGAGAACTCAGAATCAGAATGGATTTCTTTGGCTGAAGTCTTGCGGTGTGTTGGCAGCTGCTCTGCAGAGCCCTGAAACGCACCAGCCAGTGCAGGTGCCCTTTATCCAAAAGGATCCTGAAGCAGCCTGCAAATGTTAACGCCTGTAGCAGTCAGCCAGCACAGAGCAGGGGCAAAGGGAATTTACGTGTGAAGAAGCTTGTGTAGAAGCTCTTTAATTAATTACATTAACCCGTTCCTGTCCACTGATGCACAAGAGATGAGAAACCAAAGAACCTGAGGTTTCCCTTCTGTCTCCAGAAGGCCGCTGTGCGTTTGCCCCACTGCAGGGCTCCGTGGGCTGGAGTGGCTGAATAAATGGATCTCGGTTCTTCACTCCCATTAGAGCTGAGGGTAGGATTTGGTAGAAACCTCTCCTATGTGCAGTATATTGGGCACAACGTGTATGAAACTACCTGACGACACACGACTGTGTAGGACTGAGCTTTCAGACCAGGCTCGTGGGCTTTATAGAGGCATAGCATTTGGCTACCTGTGTTAGCTTGTCGTATCCGAGCTGGGACAGGGGAAGGCCAGGCTGGGCGTCGGGAGAAGGTTCCTCACTGGGAGGGCGGTGGGCTGCTGGAACAGGCTCCCCAGGGAGGCGGTCACGGCACCCAGCCCGTCACACCTCAGCTCTGTTGTATGATTTAGTGTCAGGCAGTCCTGCGAGCAGCAGGGAGTTGGACTCGATGGTCCTGAGGGGTCCCTTCCAACTCGAGATATTCCATGATCCTATGAAATGGGATGTTGAGGTTCATTCCTACCTTTAATTCTTTCTGTAGGAAATAGTGCAAAATCCTGTGGCTTTTAGCTCCCCCTAAAATGGCGTATAATTACAGGTGGCAGCAATAGCCCTAGTGATCTCTGAAGATGGGAGGAAAAGACAGGAGATGGTTTAATATTTTTATAGTTCCACAGAAAATTGTGCTCAGCAGGTTTATTCGATAAAATATTCTCACCAGACACTTTGTGCTATAATGACTTACAAATTACATGCTAATTGTGCTACAGTTAAGTCATTCCATCCTTGAAAGGGAGAGGTGGAACTTCTGCCATGAGCAATGCCCACAGACTGGGTGCCTGAAATAGGAGTTTCTGTCAGCCCAGCGTCTCAGTTCAGTTTGGGGAGACCGAGCTGCTCGGCGTCGTCCCGAGGGCGGGACCGTGTCGGTGCGGGCGAGGACGCGGCGTTCCCGGGGGGCCGGTGCCCCTGTGCCTGCGGCTGTGCCAGCAGACGGCCGGAGCCGAGGGGAGCTCTTGGCTTCCTCCCTAGGGCTGGTGGGTCCTTGTAGCTGACGGCCCTGACGTGGTTCCTGTTTCTTGCTGCTGAAGTTGAGCTCACGCTCTTGCGGGAGCTGCTGCTCCGTCTCTCCTGGTTCGGAAGCCACGGTGTGCTGGGTCGCAGTGAGCTTGTCAGCTCAGTTTACAGAAATTGAAGCGTGTTTCTGCTTGTAAGGCAGAAATGAAGAAAGTCCTTCCCGCGGCAGGGGGCTCTGATGGCTTCTCGTGGGGACCTGAGAGGTTCTTGGCCACCCATGGTGTGACCTGGGTGCCTGGCGGCTGCGCTGGCTGCCGC